TAGCTCCGGATGAAAGGGGAATAAGGGTATTAAGAAAAGGGATTTCCCAAGGATCTAAAACCGCAATCCCTTTTGGGGGCCAAATACCTCCGATCTCTACCGTAGGTGCCAAAGAAGAATGAGAAGAAGCCCGAAAAAGAGCGAAAAATAACATAACCTCCGATACGATAAACAGAATAAAACCATATCGAGGTCCTAATTGTACGACTTTGGTATGATGTCCTTCGAACGTGGATTCACGTAGAACATCGCGCCACCATACGAACATGGTATATAGGAGAAATATGAGGCCCAAACTGAGAAGTGTTGCACCCCCTTGAAATGAGTGCATGTACATCACACCTCCTACGGTTGTTGCCAAAGCTCCGAGTGAACCCGAAATAGGCCATGGACTTGGATCTACCAAATGATAAGAATGCCTCTGAGATTCAATCATAAACCACTTTGCCTCGGTTCTATGTAAACCCCCCTTCACCCCCACCCCCTAAAGTAGTAAAGTAAAGAAGGGCTCTTTGGGGTCTAATTTTCTTTCTATCTGACAGGACAAACAAAGAAACAGGAAGGGATGGTTCTTTCATTCCATTGATAGAAGTCTAACTAGAAAAAGACTCTCTCTATTACTTTGAGAAGAGAATCATTGGTTTGACCGACGAACTACGTGGGAAAATAGACCTTATTTCTTTGAAGCAAGATTTTTGGAAAGTAATAATTCCATTCAGTTCGCTTTCGGAAAACTTGCTGGTCGCGGATTAGTTCGTTCTGCGCCGCCAGCGGCCTCAACTCAAAGGCGCAGGTTGATCTCTCTGGTTGAGGCTGCATTCATTTATTTATATTCAACTTGACACGTGGGAAGGTCTTACTCTACTAGTGTCTCGGCTTGGTCTCGCCCCCTTCCCGCACTATTCCTCCCCACTAAAAAGAGCGATTGAGAATCTCGAGAACCTTTCCGAGCGTCTGTCTTTGCGGGGCGATTGGAAAAGAAAGGAGTATTTCATTCTTTTACTTCCTTCCATTCCACTATTCTGATCGAATTAATTGCTCTTCCGAACAACCAAGTCATAATGAGATTAAAAACCGATGCTTCCTTGGCCGTGTGGAACATGGATTAGCATTATGTCATTCCTACAAGTGATGACCCACCCAGGATTGCTATGTACAGACTTAGAGATCAAATAGAATATGTTTCTTTCCATTCCTCGTGAGCCACTTATTTCTCCGAAACAAGAGATTAAAGTCATCTTCCTCCTTTTTCCCAAGAAGTCGACGGCGTTACACCATTGGGATACTTCGAATAAACTTGAGTACATATAGGATACACCGGTGCTAAAACCTTTTCTCAAGATATCTTCCAAACTGTTGGGGTTGTTGCTCCGGATCTTGTTCTCCCGGTGTGAAACCAGTTGGTTCCATAGTTTTAGAATTCTGCTGATCCCAAGTACTCCATCTCCATCATTGCATATAGGAATATAGAAAGTAAAGAGGAAAAGGCATGACCAGAAGAATTGTGTGAAATAAGTGAATTTATCCAGTTGAGGCATTCTTGATTGATTGAGACAAAAAGATTCCCTCAATACAGCTTCACTCCGTCAAGCCTCTACGAGTAGTGAGGAGGTATAGATTTAGTTGATTGTTGACCGACGGAAAGCATGGGATCAAAAAAGGCAATCAATCAGAATTGAGAAAATAATTCAAAAAATCTTGGTAAACACTGGAATCTTTACCCCGTTGATCCAAATCCTGTAAAAAAAAGCGAAGACTCCCCTCAAGAAGATTTCGCTCAAAAGCATGGCGTGGATCGCCAACAGGCTGAAGCTTGTCTTCAAGAAAGTGATAAGCCTCCTTTCTTATGTTTGAGTAAGGGGATTCATTAATATAATAATAGAGGAAAGATTCTCTTCTTCAAGCATTAAGTTAAGGAGTTTGTCTTGGACAAGGCCCTTTCTCTCTAATACTTGAAGTTCGAAATACTCTTGATCAAAGAAAGAAAATTTCAATTCGGCGATAAAGATAGATAAATGTGGCGCATTTTCGCGAACAAGGGCAGCATAGTCTCCCGGAGTGTTCTGAGGCGGTAGATTATAGTACGTACCATTCTCCAAGAGTCTTATACGCCGATATATTTCCGCCTCATTCTCCGCGGCAATAACGTTTCTAAAAGTTTAGAGTGACTCCGAACTCGATTCAAATTCCAGGCGGGGAAGACTTCCTGATTCTCTAGTCGAATTATCACTTTCATTCGACAATACAAATAAGATAAAGGCTGTGGGGAGTGCTAGAAAAGCCAAAAAAAGTCCATAATGAAGAATCTCAAAAGGCAACTAAAAAGGGAAACGAGGAAACACATAATGTAAAATAGAATCAGACTTTTTTTTCTTCTTCTTCTTATCAAAACTACTGTGATAATGAGAAAGAGTAAAGAAAAAACGAAAATAAGGATCGGGGTCTTTCGAATTATTTTTTTTGCAGTTGAAGCTGCGGTGGAGGCTTCGGCTTGGCTCCCAAACCCATGCCATTTTCTTTATTCTTTTTCATTTTTTTAGTAACAAAATAAAAGAAAAGTAGGACCAAACTGAGAGTTAGTAGCATAAAAAAAGATGGATTTGTGAATGAAAAATAGAAGTTTCCAATAGGAAAATCCATCAATGGCACAATCTCAAATTGTTCAGGTGGGACTGTGGACAATCAATTCCAACTCATCAACAAATTCCTGCCATACACACCTACTTTGAAAGTCCTCACGGGCCAGTTCATTTGTGAGATGGATGACATAACGAATAGTCACAAGTTCTTCATCATTAACATGCCAGACATGCTCGGCAAACTCTCTTACCGACGTCCATGCTGGTGGCAACTGAAGACCAGTTGCATCCATGTTTCTAGATACTTGATCACAGAAATTTTCAATAACATTTGCACGATCATCGAGGGCTATGAATTGCACATTATTTTCAAAATGATTGTTGTGGGGAGAAAGTTCCATAATGAAATGGTTGATAGATAGAAGGGATAATGCTGCCGTTGACAAAGAGGAGCTCTACCAGTCTCTCCTTTTTTTCATTCCTTCAAAGACCAGAATATTCTTCTTTTTTTGTTAGAAGACCAGAATATTCTTCTTTTTGGGGTTAATGTTTTCAACGGTGAATTGATTATTCAATATCCTTTTCCTTCTGCGGCGGAATGGAAGAAAAGTAATGAAACCTGCGATGGCTACTGAATAACCTCCTTTTACTTTCTCAATAATAAAGCCTTTGATCTTTGCCTTCGTTCGCTCAATCTTGTTCAGTTCCATCCAAGCTCGGTTTTGTCTGAATCTTCGTGGAAGAAGAAGAAGCGGTTCACCAGCCACTACATCTGTAGATCCCACCAAATCATTAAACCTGGCGGCTGCTCGCTCTTTGATCAGTGATTCACCGGCCACTAGATCGATGAAGAATCTCTCCTAAATCTGCTCTTTGATCAGTGATTCACCGGCCACTAGATCCAGGAATCCCACCCTATTCTCAAACCTGGTGGCTCGGTTTT